TTTTTAAAGTTGCTTGATATCTTTCTCTGAACTGTTTACAACAAAAACAAAAACTTATAAAAATTTAACTAAAATGAAGCATTTGTACAAAATTGAAACTAAACTAAAAAAAATAAAAATAAAGAGTGAAAACAAAATAACCTTGCACTAATCACAATTTCTCATATGTGTTTGATATGTAGCTTCAGAGAATGAGAGGTTTCAGTTTAATGCCAATAAAACCCTGACAGACCAATATCAAGAGCTGAGCAGGCACCGGAGGAAAGACTCTGCTCTCAGTGTCACACCCATCAGGTAGAGACAGAGCACTATCATGCCAAAAATAGCACACACACACACACCCTGAGTTTCAACACACAACAGACACAAAAACTCCCATATCTAGTATGAGAAAAACACAACCATGAAATTATATAACGTCAAATTAATGAATAATTAAAATTAGAGCCTGTCAGGACCAGAGCACAAAACACATACACACACACACACACACACACACACACACACAACACACACACACACACACACACACACACACACACACACACACACACACTATTGTTATTTTTACTCTGCTATTGATTATTACTATTATTGAACTTTTTGTATGAATTTCTGATGATCATTGTTACAATCATGCCAATAAAGTTTGGAAACTGAAATAATAAAGTTGTCCCCTGTCTTTGTCCACAATGCTTCTTGTCCTTTTATTTGACTGATCCTTTTATTGTCTTGGTGGGGTTTTTCAGTCGGGTTGTTTACTAATCAGTCTGTTTGTCATTGGTATCTCTTTTAGGTACTCTATTATATTTTTATCTCTTTTGTGTTATTTGTTTTTACTCATGTTGTGTTTTGCTTTTCTGCTGCAAACCAATTGCCCCAAGAAGGATTCATAAAGTTGTTTGAATTGAAGCTTTCACATTCCATTCACAACAACACTGGAAAACGAAACTTAATGAAACCATAACCTACTCCGTTAGGTTTCATTTCCCCCAAACTCTCTATTAGACCAATAAGAAGGTACAAAGTGCCAGTCTCTCAGCCTCAGTGAGTCATAGTTTCAGGTTGTACGGGGTTGTAAGATCAGCTGTCCGAGTGTATTTTTCTGCCGCCAGCGCTACTGCACTGACAGGATGGCACATTCAGACTGGACCCGGATCTTTCAAAATAAAGCAAGGATTCTTAAAGAAGAAGACTCCTGGAGTCTGGAGTTTGATGAGAGTCTTGCCCCGAAATACCCAAACAAGGGCTGGAAGATGACCGTCAGGAGTACCTGTGCAAGGTCAGTGTGCAGGACAGAGGGATGCACATTTAATTTATTATAAATTAGGCGATACAGTTTGCATAAAACAATTATCTTGTGCGAATGTAGCAGTGCTGATGATTCTACTTGTCGCCATTTAACATCATAAGCCATTATTTGCTACTATTTGCCAATAATTAGCTGTGAATACTTCATGTATTCTTATTAGCTTACACTTGGACTGGCATGTTGTTTGTTTAGTATCTTTACAAGTAGCCCATGTTTACATTCAGTTATGCACTCTTGTCTAATTTGTTCTTTTTAATTGTTCTATGTTTGAGACTTAGAAGTAATGTTAAGCTGAATCCTGGATGTATATATTTCTTTATTAGATTAGATTAGATTAGATTCAACTTTATTGTCATTGTGCAGAGTACAAGTACAGAGACAACGAAATGTTTTTGGCGTTCTAACCAAAAACAGTGCAAAAGAGCAACAAGAAGCAGTACAAACATGAATAGGCATAAAGTGCAATATGGTAGTAAGGTAATACGGTAAGCTGGTGCAGAGGATACAGATAAGGCTGGTATATTATAGAGCAGCATTGATGGATATAAGATAGTTACAGTATGAACAATATTTACAGTATGGACATTATAAACAATATGCTCATAAATATCAAGTGGAATAGGATATTATATATACAGTCAAGTAGTATAGGAAGTGCAGTCTTCAATGTAAAGTCAAGTACAAATGTACAGTCAAGAATTTAGGAGTATTGCAGTGTCCATGAGGGTTGGTTGAGGAGGAGGAGGGGGGTGGGGCAAAGTACACTTGGTTATGGAGTTCAGTAGGTTGACAGCCTGAGGGAAAAAACTTCTTCTGAACCTACTGGTCCTGGTGCCAAGAGACCTGTAGCGCTTTCCGGAGGGGAGGTAGGTAAACAGTCTATGGTTGGGATGGGAATTGTCCTTAGCAATGCAGCGCGCCTTGCGTAGGCACCGCTTTTTATGGACAGACTCGATGGAGGGGAGTGGAGAACCGATGATGCGTTGGGCAGTTTTCACCACCTTTTGCAGTGCCTTCCGGTCAGAGGCGGAGCAGTTGCCATACCATACAGTGACTCAGTTAGTAAGTATGCTCTCGATGGTGCTGCGGTAAAAGTTTGCCAGGATCTGTGGGGACAGGTGGGCCTTTTTTAGTCTCCTCAGGAAGAAGAGGCGCTGGTGAGCCTTCTTGATCGTGGAAGAGGTGTTGAGGGACCAGGTGAGGTCCTCGGAGATGTGGACTCCCAGAAACTTAAAGCTGGTGACATGTTCAACCTCTGCTCCGTCGATATGGAGGGGTGTGTGTGTGCCACCTTTAGACTTTCTGAAGTCCACGATGGTCTCTTTGGTCTTCATGGTGTTGAGGGACAGGTGGTTGTCGGCGCACCACACAGCTAGGCGCTGGACCTCGTCTCTGTATGCTGACTCATCGTTGTCGCTGATGAGACAACCACCGTTGTGTCGTCTGCAAACTTAACAACGGTGTTTGAGCCATGTATGGCTTTGCAGTCGTGTGTAAAGAGGGAGTACAGGAGAGGGCTCAGCACACAGCCCTGCGGAACGCCAGTGTTCAGGGTGAGGGTAGAGGAGGTGTGGTCGTTGATCTTAACAGACTGCGGTCTGTTTGTCAGGAAGTCCAATATCCAATTGCGGAGGGAGGGGTCGATGTCCAGGTCATGCAGTTTGGTGATCAGTGTGGAGGGGACAATGGTGTTGAACGCTGAGCTAAAGTCAACGAACAGTATTCTTAGTATTTTGTTACGTTTAAAATATTTGTTAGAGTTTAATTACTTTGTATTATTCTTATGTTGCTTTATGTGCTTTAATTACCTGCTGCTGTAACACTACAAATTCCCAGTTCAATGCCTATATCAATATATCTGTCTGTCTGTCTGTCTGCCTGTCTGTCTGCCTGTCTGTCTTGTGTGTAACATGAACGCCCTCTGCTGGAGCTCCTGCAGACTTGATATGTAATAAGTGCCGCTAAAATATAATACAATATTTCATTTTTGTTGGTAAAAATGCTATTTATCCATGTTGGGATATTTTTGAGTTTAGAATCGTGTAAGAAAAATAATCAAACAGCATATAAACATTTTCTCATTCCATCTAGAAATGCACAATTGCACTCTTCTCTGTCTACACTATAGTAGTCAAGTCAAATCAACCAGCTTTTATTTTAACCCAATAACCTTCACCAGACCTAAAAGTTTGTCTTGACAAAAGTTTAAATTTCAATTGTTCAACAAGCCTTGGTTGTCTCTTTAACTTTGGTCCTCTATCATTTTGAAGGTTCAGATGCAGCAAGTGTGGGAGAGTCTGGGCTTCCAACAAAGCAATGGTGGTCTTCCACATGCGCCTGTCATACAGGCAGGGCCTGTCAAGGCTAAGCCCCTCCATCAGAAATGTAAGACGTGTGACGATGGTCAAATGGAGGAGCCCAGCATCAGCTCTGGGAACATCGCTGTCCTCATGGATAATCTGGTGGAGCAGATCAGAAAAAAATGCTATAATGAATTTGTGGGCAGAAAAAGTAGGCATTTCAGAAGCTTTGATGCCCAGAGTCCCCATGAGCCTGCTCACTGTGAGGCCTGTATGCAAGGCATCTGTCCAAGGAGCTGAGCTTGTGTGACTTTCAACTTTGACGTTTCTACATGTACGATCACTCTGTCTACTTTCTGTTCTTGAGGTTTTCTTTATTGTTCCAAGAGTTTATAAGCTGTTTCATGCCTTTGTTCACTTTAACAAAACATACATTGCACAAAACCTTTCCTACTGTACGTCTGTTACACTGTTTTGCTTCATCTATCATATCATTATCAAGTGTTCATGAAGTTACATTTTCATTATTGCTAGGGTTCAGTTTGGTTCAAAATGTTCTGTTTTGCTTAAATGCATAATGAAAAACCTTCTTACAAAACAAAATAAAAAATAAAGCATTTACAAGCAATACACATATTGTGTTTGTGTTTATTTTTTAATTAGTTTTTATTTAATGTGTACATATGGCCCTAAATGAAAGGTTTTAATAAATCTGGCTTGTTCTGTATAAAGAATACAACTAATAAAGGTCTGGGTCTGAAAACATGTGTTGGGCATTCAGTTATACAGTATACTGAAATAACATAAGACATTATTATCTTGCATGCACAATATTGTTATCTTGTGGCAATTAATTACATTATGGGAACAAGTAAAATGTTAAGTTTTGCACACACTTCGAGCAGAACCAGGTTCAGGGTGAACAGCCAATATTATCTCAGGAAAGTAAGGTGAAAAGAATCAGTCCAAGCACAGAATCTTGTGGAACTCCATGACTAACTTTTGTTTGCATAGATGACTGACTGTATCTTAAAAATATACACAGATAAATCTGATAAATACGGTTTAAAGCAACCACATAATATGATAATTAATTGTTCTAATCTCTTTGATGTGATGAGGAAGTGTGTTAAATGCTGCATTGAGATCTAACGGGACAAGTACAGAGAAACATCTACTAACATCCACCACTAAATCCTGATTGAAAATCCTCCAACAAACTGTGGTTACTAAGATAATAACAGGCTATGTGGTCATAGCCTGTCCAAAAAGTGACATTTATCATATTTAGTATGAGGTGCTAACTGAAGGAAAGCCTTCCTTAAGTAGCTTACTCTAGTTAGAATCAGGACTAAACAACCAGTTGATGGTTTTGATGATTCTTTGAAGTTAGTGAAACAAAGTGAATCGCTGTAAAATATCAGAAAAGCAGGAAAATGAATGAACCAGTGTGTTGGGCCAATCTGACCCCGCTAGCTGTTTTGAACGAATGAACCCCTAGAATCGACCAATAGGGTTTTTACAGTACTCCAAACAACCCAGAAGTATGATCCAGGTAATAAAAACCAAAAATATGTTTACACAATCAACCCAGCACCTTTTTTGATTTTATTTGCATTCAATCAGCGTGTGTGACACTTGTTGCAGATGTGGTGAGTCTTTGCCATCTGCAAGTCACACACTGTGGTGCAACACATGAACTGTGGTTTTTTCTTTGTTTTGTATGAAACCACTCACAGGGAAAGGAGCTGCGGTGAAAAGTTTTCTGTTTCCCACATCATTTGCCGGGGGTTTGTCCACGTCACGCTCGGTTTGCAGTGGCACTATGTATAACTTGGCCACGGAGGGTGAATTTAGTCTTGCAAGAAATAGCTTGACAGGTAAGTGGTTTGGATGCCTTTGCTGTCTAATGTTGTCATGCAGCTGTGAGATTGTTATTCAGTTTCCTCTACAGAGAGTCAACACTGAACATACCGCTTTCCTCTAAAAACAGGTGAAACGCTAACTCCAAACATTATGACATCCAGGGACGCTGCAGTGAAGGTAAAGTATCTATTTCAGTATCTTATGACCATATTTTTTTATGAATCCTTTTTTTGTAACTGATGTCTTCTTCTGCTTTTTTTTCATTTAAGTGGCTCCCTCCCCAAGTCGGGCCCACAATGGTTGTGATTTTCATTCTTATACCAGGTAGGAGTATTAAGCCTATCTGAGGCAATCAGTTTGGGTTACTCTGTGTAAGTTCATTTTGTTGTTCTCTAATCAGCTTTAAGCGGTGCCATCGATGTTAACTGCTCCGAGTCAAACCAACCAGCCCTGCTGAAGGCTCTGAAACCATTGTTTAACCTGAAGGCCATACGCCCTGTGATGAACCTGACGACCCCTACCAACATCATGACCTACTTCACCATGTATGGAATACTGGGTGTGGTAAGTTCAGCTCTCAGTAGATTGAAATAATTAGTATTATGCTGTACACTGTTAATTGTCTATTAACTATGTAATAGTAAAATTAATTTTCCTGAGAATGTTTTTTTTATAATACAACTTACAAATGTACAGTACTCTAAAAACACAAGGAAAAATATTGTTTGCACCAGTTTAAGCTTAATATTGATGAACAAGTCAGCACAAAAGTAATATGCAATTGCATACTGTCTTCAACCACCTGTGACTGAATTAAACCTCTCTTTCATTTTCTCCACTGAGACTACAAGATTTGTTTTGTCCAAAAAAAACACATTGATTGTAAAGTCGTTCTTCTTGTCTTCTAGGATGAAAAGGCTCAACTCTTAGAAACATACATCTGGCTGCATTATGTAAGTAAATCAACTTGTTTCCAAATAACCTTATTCAACATCTATTTCAGCATCATTTTGCATGATTTTTTGCATCATCAGTATATGTCAATAGGCCTGTAAACTGTAGTTTAATGATAACACAACCTTTAAAGCGCTTGTTGTCCGGCTCTTAAGCCGAGCGTATACCGTGTCAATTTCTTTGCATGAACAGGCGTTGAAATCTTTGAATTTGCGCAGATACTGTGAAGCTCACTTTGAATCTGATTGTGATTGCTACATAAACTTAAGCTGAAGCCATACAAGTCAGTTTTGACACCAGTTTTGTGTTTTTTTTTTAGTGGTGGCAGAATGAATTTGTCAACTGGGATCCAGTCCAGTGCAGCTCCAAAATGATTTCCCTTCCAAGATCCATGTTTTGGGTGCCAGATATTGTCATCAATGAATTGTGAGTTTCAATGACTTCGATGTACAACACTGTCCTTTAAATAGAAGGAAGAGATTCTGAAGAACAGCTATGTACGGTAGAATTGACCAATTTTAAATGTCAGATGATAAATGTTAATGTCCCCAAGCATAACAGGGTGGCTCATTTATTTGTTGGTGTCTGTATTCTGTCTCGATACTTTTTGTAAAACAATAGAGCTCTATAGAAAATAAAACTAAACATTTAAGGACTTTTGGCTTAGCAACAATTGTTAGAAGCATCAATCTACTGTTTTCATTGACTTTCTTTATATAGAAGTGATATTCTCAGGAGTTGACATATCTAAATTCCTCACTGCTCTCAATGTTGACATTAATTGACCAGGCAGTTAAAAGAGCACTTTAACTGGAAGATGAGGTGCCCAGTCTTGGCTGTGTAAAAATATGGAGCCCCAAAAAACTAACAATCATTGCATGACAGTTGCATGGTCTCATTTTTCACATATTAACTCAAACCTCCACTGCTTATCTGACTCGTGCAGCATGGATGAAAACACAGCCCCCATTGTCCCGTACGTGTATCTGTACCACGACGGCAAAGTCCACGATGCTCTACCAGTCAGAGTTGTGAGCTCGTGTAACCTTGATATCTACACCTTCCCATTCGACGTACAGAACTGCACCATGACTTTTAACTCCTACATACACTTCGGTAAGACGCTGCACCAAATGTCTCATTTACCATCTCATTTTACATGTCCTTTAATCCATAAAGCATAAGGAAAATAACTGGAAAAAATACAGAAGATGATCGACATGAGTCATATTTGAAGGAAGTTTATCAAATCTAAAACCTTTTTTTAAAGGTCTATTTAATGTAATTAAACTCTGCTGTGTAATATGGGCATGTAATCTTTTTGGCCTTGACCTTCCATGATAATATATTTCTCTGTGCTCTGCAGCCATGGACATCCAGATTTTCCTTGGCAGGTCTGCAGAAAACATTACATTGAACTCCAAGAACGTGATTACCACTACTGGGGAGTGGGAGCTGCTGGAAATCACCTCCTACAAAAACGAATCAGGACAAGATAAGAGTGACTACATTGATGCGCTTATATTCAATGTAGGTGGATTCTGATCATTCTAAATGACATCTCAGGATGAAATATAAAAGTATTTATCTCAGTTAAAAACAAGCAAACCTTGTTCTTATTGTGTCTAAAACTTTTGCCTTGTAAGTCCAACATATTGGTAACTTTCAAACCCATTTCAGTTCCTGAGTTGTTCATCTGTGGTAAATGTGTGGAGCGAGTTTAAACAACAGACCTCACACTCACATCTGTCTTATTTTGTTCTGAAGTTTACAACAACATTTTTAAACTTTTATTTTTTCAAATACCTTGTTGCAGGCTGTTCTACATTAAGCTGTACAATTTCATCACATATTTTGTTCATCCTGGCACATTTTTATATATTTTTTTTAACAAACAAGAATACATACAACATGAAAGAAAACAAAATAAATGAAAAATAAAAACCAAGGGAATGATTTTTTAACATTTAAGCTATAACTGTGTGGCATTAGATGAAAACTTTGAAAGATCACAAGGCTATTTTCTTAAATCTTCTGCTTTCTTCATGCTGTCCAGTAGTTTTTATGTACTTTGAGTTCATCTTAATCATAAAGGCTGTCTTACATTACCAAAGTAATGATAGCTATCTCTATATTATAAATTCCAAATGAACATGGAGGTACCTGACAACGTTTTTTCTCTTTCTCTCTCTTTGCAGGTCCGAGTGAGGCGCCGGGCCACCCTGTACGTTGTGAACTTGTTGATCCCCAGCTGCTTCCTTATCACAGTCGACCTCTTCAGCTTCTTGCTGCCTCCTCAGGCTGTGGACCGATCCTCCTTTAAGATGACTCTGATCCTGGGCTACACCGTCTTCCTGCTCATCATGAACGACCTGCTGCCCGTCACTGGAAACAGCATACCTCTCATAAGTCAGTTTTAAAGGGTGTATTTTCTCTAACAATCCGTTTTTGAAGTTAACTTTTCTGTATCCTAATGAAAGAACTTTTCATAAACACAACACAAGATTTTGTTCACATAGACTTTAGGGAAGATCACAGTCTCTACAGTGCAAACCTTAATGACAGCCACAATCTCTCCCCTCACTCTCTCTCTCTCTCTCTCCCTCTCTCTCTCTCTCTCTCTCTCTCTCTCTCTCTCTGCCAGATGTGTTCTTCTCTCTCTGCCTTGCTCTGATGGTGACCAGTTTACTGGAGACCATCCTCATCACTAACCTGTGAAGTGTCTGATGTAACCAGGACAGAGGTAATATAAGTTTACAATGGGCGCATCAGGAGGAGTATCTGAAGGAGATTTAGGAGCCCTCTCAGTGGAATGTATACAATGGGGTCCCTGTATCCAGAGAGTTGCCCAGGGACTTCTGGACAAGAGATTGTATCTGTGACCTGTGTTGTCCTTTGAGTTTATGACATACATATGACATACATATGACTAAGACAGAAACCCCTGCAGTTGTATGAAGAGGGGTGTCCTGAAAACAAATAGATGTCCCTATGTTGTTCTCCTGTGAGGTGTGTCCATAAATACCAGAGTTTCTGTGTGTAAGGGGAGAGATCACTTTTGGCTGTGTCTCTCCCAGGTCGAACCATGGCGAGCCTGGCGATGCTGTAACTTGTTTGTCAATAAAATGATCATTATGTAAGCAAGTCAGTGTCAACGGAGAATTTCTTCATCATCAAACATGTCAACAACAAGGAAATCCACATCAATTTTGGCGTCACGGAACAGGATCAGTTGGGGCCTTCTGCAGGGGACCACAGCTTGTTTATTATTTCCATCACTTCGTAAGTGTTTCTTTCTTTTTTTTCTGCATATATTGCGGAGCTGTTTCTGTCGTCTATCGGCAATTTTGGCCGCACTGTCAAAGAACTGAAGTGCAATGATGTGTTGATGTTGGAGTAATTCTCTGTCTAAATTGGGGTTTATTGAGTTAAAAAGTATATAGATAAAGGGGAATAAAATAAAGAAGAGATAAATAAGAGAAGAAGAGATGAATAAAGTTGAAAGGTAATGATAGCATAAGCGCAACTAGTAACAAGACCAGTTAGCTAAAAAACTATGCAAGTTTAACAAGGACAGGGCCCGTATCCTCTTAACAGTAAGTCATGTGTAAATTAGACACTGAAGTGAAAGTTGGCTTTAAGAAGTAGTCAAATTTGAGTAAAAATAAAACAAAGGGGATCCCTGGCCAGGGTATTTGGATAATTATAAACGTATAATGTAGGAAATAAAAGAAGAAAAAAAGAGAAGAAATAAAGATGAGAAGTGTAAAGATGAGAAGTAAAAAGATGAAAAGTGAAGATAAGGAATAAAGATAAGAGTTTTGAGAAAAGTGGGAAAAAAGCGCTAGTAAAGGAAAAAGTGTGCATTGAAGCATGCAGTGTGAAGTAATTTGTTAAAAGACAATTTGTTAAAAGTTTGGCCAAAGTAAAAATTTGATAGAGGAAAATTATAAATGAGTCGACTTCAAAATCTGAACTGAAATATGTGTGCGCTCGCTGAGGAGCAGCTGTTCTTGGAATGTATGTGCGCGCAAGCTCTATACAGCCTGAACTGAAGTGTGTGTGGCTGTTGAAGGGCTCTGTCTCTGTCTGTGTCTTGTCTCTTGTGTTGTGATTTGGATGGGGTTTTGAGAGGTCTGTGTGGTGTGAAGATGTGTATTTGATCCGGAAATGTTCTTGTATATGTGTGATTGATAAATAGAATAGATGTATTAATAAATAGGCATATGTAGCAGGTGATTGGTTAAAAGGCGATTTAGTAACTTATAAGAGGGGACATTTTTGCTTCATCAGTGATAAAAAATATGAGCCTTTGTTTCAGAGGACTTTTACTTATCTGATCTTCATCAGTGATAAAAATCTATGAGCCCCTCAGAGGATGTTTGTTTAATCTGATAAATACACATGAGCCTAATAAAGGACGTTTATACATAGCATAAGTGTATATAGTATCTGTTTTTAACAGAAGTGGAGAGACCAGCGAGGATAGTCTGTACACATTCAGGAAGCAAGATTCGAGAAAAGAACAGAAAAATTCCTGATAAAGTTTAGAACTGCCGGCTGATTGGAGTGTGAACTTCTCTTTCTGTCTGTTGGAGCGTATGTGTGTGTTCACATTAAAATAGGTGGAGAGAATATATTTTCTATTTGGCTGTTGATTGGGAGGATATTGTGCTGATTTCTGTGTGTGCATAGACTCTGTGCACAGGGGTGGAGCAGTGATCTTAAAAGTGTGTGTGTTCTGTGCTAGTATATTACCACCCTCTAGGAAATCAACACATTCTGTTTCATTTAATGTCCAATAACTAAGTTTAGCTGAAACATCATATAACAAGACAAAGTTACAAAAGATAATTAGACACTAACTTTATGAACATCCATTGTGAGTAACCCAGTCAGCTCTAGAAACCAGATTCAAAACGGTTCTTTGTGATGCCATTATTTTGCTTTTCTTATTGCCTTACGCCTTAGTCTCTTTATTTCCGGTCTTCACATAAAATGTGCTTTTATTTAGAAAAACTGCAAAGGGGACTTCTGCTACATCGTAAAGTTATGGGAGTAAATACATACAGCTAAAATAACAACCAAGAGGAGAAAATGTTACACTTATGCTGTTTTGTGAGGTGGATTTATCTTAAAAACCTCGTTTGGGTGACTTACTCTCTTTCAGAAGGATGCTACATGCAGCATGTTTCCATGTGTGAGCTCTGAGCTCTGACTCAGTGATGAGTGACAGGAGGATTAAATGCAAATGTAACCTTACTGTGCTTCAACTGTAATCAAATAGATATGATTGGCTTAGTTGTCACTTAATAAATCTTACTTGAGTGATAAGTTTTCTTTTAATGACTCCACTAGTAAAAAGTGTACATTTTAGTGAAAGTAGGGGTGTCACAGCACCCACGGGTGAGATGCGCTTGTCTGTGCATTAAATGCACTAGGTTTGGACCATGGGGTTTGGAGACGATGTTAACCCTTTGACAGCCAGGTAGACTGGAAGCTCTTGAAAATTAGGAGGCGGGTCCAAGAGGCGTTGCCTCACATAGAAAGCCAATTAGATTACTCCTTTTGAAGAGGAGTGGAGAGAGAGCCCTTCCTCCTCTCTCTTCTCTCTGTGGGACACAGAGGGAAGGAAAACACACCCCCAGTAGGGAGACAGCCTTTGCAATAGATAAAAAAAAAAATAGATAAAGATTAGAGATAATGTGTGCATATTTCACTGAATTGTTATTGCATTGTCTATATGGATTCAGAGTGATTAAACTTTTGTTTTGTTTTCTTTCTGTCTTCTCTGTTTTTACTATGTTGTGTGAGAACTGGAGGAGATGGATTGTGTCTGAACTGGATCAGTCAAAAAAAAAAAAGGCAGATGAGGAGAGACCTGGGGGGTACTTCACAAACACTGGAAGCTTGCGGATGACAGCATGTAGGGATCCTGAATCCAGCTTGATCAAGGCCAGTGCGGTTTTATCCACAAACTCTTTCAACAAACACCTGAACTTTTCTATCTGTGTATACATTTTTTATAGTCAACATCTTTGATACATGTTTAGTCTGTTTTCGCATAGAGGCTTACATTGTTTCTTCTATGTATCACATTACAATTATATAGGAGGAAGTCTTGGCAACAGACTGACTAATTGAAGCATTGGGTCAATAATGGAGTATTTTTGATTTGATTGATCATTTATGGAAAAGTTGATTTGATTCAAATGCAGTTGAGTGCTGTGAATGCTGGTTTCATTGTCTGAGTATGGTCTAGCTTGACCTGGGCTATTTTGAGATGGAACATTGACATTATTTCCATAATTTTAAGATAAATAAGTGTGATTAGATGCACTAGGTGATAAACAAGTGCTTTTGCTTTCATAGTAAGAAGGCTTTGGTCTCCTTTGGGGTTGGCAAATTCATTCACTTTCAAGTGTGGTAACAGTACTTTCTAAATAGTTTGACTTACAATACGAGGAACTAAGAGGGTCATTGTAATGTCAAAGATGGACACCAAAATTACAAAACAATCACTTCTGTTGATGTAGTACAGAAGACTAATCCTCTTGTTAAAGATATTCCAAAAATATCAGAAAAATGGAGTAAGCGTTGTTCTGACATTGACCAGCCTTGGCCAGTAGAGGGGACTTTGAACCCGGATGTGATTAAAACAATACAGGTGCTTGTGTCTACATATAAGGTAAATCAGATGAAAGGCAAAAAGGGGAAATAGACGTATGGAGAAAAGACAAACTGAACTTGGCATTCTGCAGTTGTTTGAAAATGAGGGACAGAAATTGTTAGAAGCTGCAAGAGAAAAAAGGAACAGAAGTATGCAAGAAATAAAGAAAAATGATAAGGCAGGAAAGTTAATGGAGAAGGTTAACACACCCTTCTCACATACTGCCTTAGTAAAGAAGCGCCCGCCTTATGAGAAGGAAGTGAAGTTTACTGATGTTTATCCTCAGCTCCCAGTGATTAGACAGGAGGGCAACTATCACGTCACAGATGAGAGTGATAGTGATGGAGACTCAGAGAGAGAAGGTCCTCATATCTTCACCCATTAGCAGCCGGTTCAGGGGTGGAAGATGATGGATGCAGCGCTTTAAGAAATTGGAGAGAACTATAAATAGATGCCTTGTGAACATAAGTGAATCTACCAGTCCAGAAGAAACAGGACCAGGAGACTCTTAGAAAACTTAACCAACTACAGCTGGTTGATAATAAGAAGGAGATGAAACAAGCTGTGGTTATGCAAAGTCAGCATCAACCAAATCAATTACCACCACAGCCGCAGCATGACCAGATCTAGTTTCAGCTATCTCAGCTGTTATCCATGATCCCCAATGCACCTTTTCCACAGTCAGTTTTTGACCAACCACAGATAGGAAGTTTAGAAAGAGGCAGAGGAGGAAATTTCCAACAGTCTTCAGGAGTGTGTCATAATTGTGGACAGCTAAGCCACTTTGCTTGTGGATGTTACAGAACAGAGGAGATTTCAGAGGAGTATAGATGGATGTTGAGGTTGGAGAGGACTTTTCTGTTGTTTACAGGAAAGGTCAAGGAGTTAGATTTATGTTGAAGGAATTGTAAGGTAGAATAGTGAAGGTTCAGGAAGTAGAGAGATAAGTGAATGCTCAGTGAAGGAAATTGTTAGACCTGCTAGGTCTGATGATTTAGAAAGCACATGGGTTAGCCCATGGTGCAAGGGGGGAGTTAGGAGAAAGATT